GTTCATAGGGTTTAGGGTTTTTAGGTCCTATCGGGGATGGGAAACCTACCAGAGAGAGGCGTTTGCCCGTCAGGGAGCCTTTGCCAAACCCTGCATAAAATCTACATGACTCCCCAAAACACACTCAACCTCACAAGGAACAGGAATGGGACGGTTCCGAACATCATGGGTCCCTTGTTCGGGATCCTTAACATAAGCATTTGCATATTTACGGTGTATATACTGGGGTACCCCGATTTCTGGGAAGCTCTAAACACCTGATTTAATCATGAATGTTATTTTCCTGTTTCATTCTCCCAGGTCTTTTCCATTTGATTCCCCATGACTGCACACCCTGCATCGCATGTATCCTTATAAACCCTGTAGAAATTCATCATCTAACACGAATACAGCCCTGTATCCCCTAAAATAACCCTATATCATCCCTGCATATTCCAAACTCAATATGGTAGTTTCCCAAAATAAGGGGACCCTAATATAGACCCCAAAATGCTATAATCCTTATCATGGGGAGCCCCAAAATGGTAGCCGTTGCTTTGCGAAACTCCCATATATAACCCCCAAATCACCTAAATCCTAAACCCTAAAACTGCAAATCAATGCCGGCCTCCCGGATCTTCGCGCGGTCGTTCGCAGCGCTGGACTCGGGTCGCTCGGGTCGCGCAGAGCTGGAACTGGCGCCTACATCACGCGGACGCCAAGGTTAGGGTCGAGGTCCTTGTACCCTCCGTGTTTGAACGGAGGTATTTTCCATGTTAGCCTGAAGGACACATAACCGTACCAAGCAACCATCAAATCAAAGTCATAGATCAAAGCGCTGGATCTTCAGTGTCTGGGGTTAAGGCGACAGGAAACACTGCAGTCATCCCCATAGAGCCTAGACCCTACCAAACCCCTAAACCCCAGTGTGCTGTGTTGGGACTGCGAGTATCAACCAACCTCTTCTGGGACAGGCTCTAAATTGGAACATGAATCCTAGGTCTTAAAAGCTGCAACGTAAACTCCAAACAGTCCGTCGAGAATCTAGAATTTTCAGAGACTCCGTATGAACACAGTATTCCTCATGTAGGCCTATAACTTGATGTGCCCCATGCAGCCCGACCCCTCAACTGGGTTGTTGCTCAGGAATTTTTATTCTGTGACCCTGTATCAGGAAGACCTGTGATTTACTTGAATGTAGCCAAGGCTAGCAGCAGCTTATGCTCCCTAATATCCTGATAACCCCAAGTAGGCAGGCTTTGTATGTTGTTTTCCATGTTCTTTTCCACCTGCTTGTCCGTTATCGGGGTGGTATCTCCAAGCCCTAGATATCTCCAACATAACGTCTATCTAGCCAACTCTATAAGTTAATCCTGTATGATCTCTTTCCATTCACCCTTTATGTACTTAATTGTGTGCCCCTATAAACGTATGACACAACCCACCTACACCCTAAAGCCTGATCCCTAACCTTAAACCCTAAAAACCCTAGACCTTAAACCCTAAGCCTTAAGCCCTAAACCTTCAACCCTGAACCCTAAACCCTAAACCTGAAAGCCTAAACCCTAAATCTTACAGCCTAAACCTTAAAGCCTAAACCCTAAACCTTAAACCCTGAACCCCAAGCCCCAGCAAACCCCTAGGTTTTGGGCCTCCAGCTGCAGCCTTGGGTGCTGGCCTGCGTCGGTGCCTCGCCTCCTTCTGTTTAGACGGTCTCGCATTCAGAGTTAAGGTGTAAGGTAGGGGGTGTACAAAACAATGTATGTATATATATATACCATGCTCCAAAAAATGTGTCGAGACCGTTCAAGTGAAGGGATGTCTGGGGATCTTTTTCGGGTGATTTGGAATGCAGGGTGGCTGTAGGCCTCGACCGCTGGATTCGACTGACTGGAGAATGGGCGTAAGGGGCCCTTAAGGTGTTTGGATTCATGGGCAATATGTTATAATATACCATATTGTACTGTAATGTACTATAATGCACGCTGATATAATAAACTATCTTGAATTACAATAGGAGGCATAGGGCATGCTTCGGATTCAGGCTTAAGGGTGGCTACCCAGACATTTGAAACACGCCTCAAGGCTTAGACCTTTCTATGTAGGGAGTCAAGAGCTTGGGGGTTTAGGGGTTGAGGGTTTAGGGGTTTAGGGTTAAAGGGTTTAGGGGTTTAGGGTTGAGGGATTTAGGGTTTAGGGGCACAAATGCTAAGGGCGGGGGAGCGAAAACATTGAAGAGGTGTTTATAGAGTCTGCAGGAGATCGCTAGGACGTATAGAGACCACGTTCTCAGAAAGGAACCAACCCTGCTACCAATCCTGGCCCTTCCTCAGTGTGCTTCATGGCTTCATGAGGAACTAAGGGACCATGTGACTCAGTGCTTGAGGCTAAGTTCTTTTACGTGTTTCTATTTTGACCCAAAGCCACAAACTCCAAATCCACAGGCCGTGCATCCGAAAACCGAAGCCCTTAGCGTTGCACTTACTTGTGCGTAGGGACCCTCTTTTATGTGTTTTCGCCGCGCTTATTCAGGACACAGCCATTGTTTGGGTGACCCTGTTAAATGTGTTTTGTTTTTGGGGCCCTAAAAATACGGAACCGAATCCGGACCATCCCTTGTAAAATAATCTCCAAGGCCTCCCGGGGCCCTCAGTACCGTGGGACCCTTTTTCAGGACGTCAAATTTCTATTTTTCTGAGGGTTCTATTGTTGGGGGTGGGGTGCGCTAAGATTAAAGAGGGTTGCAACATTACCCCCAAGGCCCTTTCAAGACCCTGAACCCTGCCCTAAGGTCAACTTGGTACCTGTTAGCCTAAATAGGTGGTTGTCAAAATTATGGTCCCTTTTTGGATCCCACATATAATACGGCACCTAATATTTAGGGTACCCAAAAAGGAACCATAATTTTGACAACCACCCAAACAGGAAGAAAGAAAGACTCAGGGGAAACTGCGCCTTGGGAAGCAACGGCGCCCCGCACACGTCATCTAGGTAATCCAGCCTTGGTTCACGGTTTGGGGTTTAGGGGTTTAGGGGTTTAAGGGTTTAAGGGTTTAGGGTTTAAGGGTTAGGGGTTTAAGGGTTTAGGGTTTCAGGGTTTTGGGTTTAAGGGTTCAGAGTTTAGGGTTTAAGGGTTTTAGGGTTTAGGGTCACAGCAACATGTGGTTAGTCTTGCTGGTGCTCAGTCAGGAATGAAGGAATGGAAAAGAAAAGGGAAGATGCTATGCAATTGAGCCATGGTCTACACTCCTAGTATCCCCTGTAATTACCCTATAATACTCCCCTGTATAACCCCCCCTTAAGGAGTTTAGGCTATGGCTCAATTGGTGTTATGTAAGGGCGGCGGCTACTCGGGAAATTCATGTTTCTATTCCCTCTTCACTACCCATAAGTGGGGGTTGTCCAAATTAGGGGTACCATTTTGGGGGGTCCCCACAATCAAAATTGTAGTACTTTGGGGTGTATATTGGGGTCTTCTTATTTTGGGAAACGACCAAGTAGGTTCCGAATTTAGAGACCCTTCTCGCGCACCTCACAGGTAGGCCCATCTTGGCCCATGTACCGTGTTTAGGGTTTAGGGGCTATGTGAGGACCCACTGGGGTAATAAAAAGGGAGAATCAAATGCAAAAAATGACTGCAACATGAAATGGAAACTGCTATTGGGGGTTTAAGGGTGTTCACTCAGGAAGAATACGTTAGGCCTATGTACCCAAGCCAAGGCCCCAAAGGCCTTCAGCATCTTTAAGCCCAACCATACTCAAAGTCCGATCCTTCCCCCTTTCCTGCATAGCTGCGACAAAAAACAAGTGCATCCTTAAATGGCGCTGAGGCCCACGGCAGATGGAAACCGCAAAGGTACAATCCGAAGCTGTGAAAAACAGGCCAGTAGCTGCGTGTCATCGACCAGACCGCTGGCGATCCATTCCATTGCAACATTCTCAAGTCCATTCCTGCAACTTGTTGAAAAGGGCCTTGCTTTAAGACCCTGAAGCATGTGCCTAAGTTTGGCGTAGCATCTCGTTTGCCGGGCTCATTTTGCCAAACTCGGAGGCATAGCTGGGTGTTATGGAAGGACCTTAATGGGGATCCCAAACAAGGAACCCTAAGAATATAGCAGGAATAAGCTTCTAGGGTCCTGATTCAAGTCCGTGTATAAAAGGATCTGAAGTTGGAAGTCCAGTCTCTCCCTGGGCTACACTAAATGGGGGTTTTGGGGCTTCAGGGGTATGTGGCGAGTATGTAGAGACATGAGAGGGCTCGATGATGGAAAAAGGGAGCTCAAAACGGACTAGAACATGGAATATGAGCATTCAATTGGGATTATATAATCGCTTGTAGGGTCTGCGGCTCCCAAAATTACTATAGTGTTTTGGGGTACCCCTATCTCTGAAAAGTTCTCAATCCGGGACGACTTACCGCAATCAAGGCCGCATGTTGCTTAACAACCCTGCAGGGCTTTGCAGATGACCCCCTGGCGGGATCCAAGTCCATGAATAACACCTCCATTGGGCCCTAAAGTCTGGAAAAATATTCACTTGAGGCTTCTGGATCCCAAGATAAGCCTTTTGGATACTGAAGAGTGCGAGTACCTACTTTGGGGCTTTTGGGCTCCTTAGGGCTTCTATTCAAACAGGAGAGTCGAGGTCCTGCTGAGGTCTTGCATGAGCTCCGTCCTGCAAAGGGTAGATCATGGGTTCAATTAGTACCCCCCTCTATACTACCCCCCCTAGGGTTCCCCCCTTAATTAATGGTATTTAGGGTAATTAGGGTTAATTAAGGGGGAACCTAGGGGGGGGTAGTATAGAGGGGGGTACTAATTGAACCCATAAGTAGAGAAGGTTCCAGGTTAGGGTTCAGGGTTGCATCGTTCTAGGGCTGCAGATCTAGCGGTTACTTGGGAAAGCCTATATGTCCAAAATAGTGGACTGCTTGAACCCAAAATGGTAGAAGATTCGAGAAAGTATGCCAAAATTGTGGGCTACTGGCTACTGGCTTTCTAGATAGGGATAAAGGCAGGAGGATTAGGAATCACGGGCTCAGAGTGGACTTTACCCTGATGATCCGCCTCATGGTAACACAGTAATAACTTAGGCAACTTGTACTAAAAAGTGGTTTGCATTTTCTTTTCCATTAACCCAATATAACCCCAATATAAACCCTATAATCCAGGGAAGCCATGTGCTGCGATCCTAGTCCCGAAGTCCCGAAGCCAAATCTGTGTGCACAACAGTCACGTATTATCCCCCTTAAGCAGATAGAATATGGCTTTGGGGATATTATAGGAAGATCCTCATATACCCCATATTCTATCTACTCAAGGGGGACTATATCTTGCCACTATGGAGATTCTTACCTCATGACTACTCTTACTGCTGTTCTGAAATTCTTGCATGCACCCGAGGAACACCACGCAATGACTCCTACAAACAGGATGTCCTGTCAGAGTGCTCCATGAGCCATGAGACCAGGTCTCCAAATGCATCCGCACCATGCCGAGGTGCCATGCGGAAGCCTGCTTTCATGGGCCTTACCTCTAGTCTCTGGCTGAGAATAGAGAAGAAGATAGAAACTGCTGCTAATGGAGAAACACATGGAGATGGAAATGGGAATTAGGGTTCTACAGGGATAAGATACGGGATGGAAAAACATGGAAAATGCGCTGGAAACTGAGCTTCGTCGTCCAGAGGTTTAGGTCGCACGGATTGAAGGCACTTCGTTCCTTGCTACTCGGAGGTGAAGAGGGATCGTGGGGCGACGGGGCCGAAAAATTGAGAACACAGGGTGAATAGGAAGAGGTCTTCTGTACTGTCGTCTGTTACTCTTCCTCTTGAAATTCAGTGGCGGTTCTGGCATCATAATGACGAAGTTCACATCGACCACCTATCTACCGACAAGAGCGGCTGTCATCAGGTCTACCACTTGCACAATGCGGAGAATCTGGTGATAAGATTCCGGAACCATGCAAACGCATCGTCAAACACTTCGCGCTGAATCAGACAGGTTTGTGTCCAGTAATTTACCTACTTGTGAGGTCCGGGTATAGGTATGGTGTGGGAAATCTACATTAAATTTTTGGATTGGGAAATGCTTCGACTCCCATTAGATCCTCTCTCAGGAGGCAGCGCAGTACTCCTGCTGAAGAATCACGCCCTAAACCCTAGACCCTCGACTTTACCAATGCTCAAGGTCCCAAATCTCCAGTCCAAAGCCTCGAGCCCTGCAAAATACCAGGACCATATGGGTGGTTGTCAAAATTATGGTCCCTTCTTGGGTACCCTAAATATTAGGGGCCATATTATAATAGGGACCCAAAAAGGGACCATAATTTTGACTACCAGCCATATGTAGTCCCCCTTACCATATTCTATCTCCTTCAGGGGGACTATACCCTTGGCTAGCCGCCCTCGGTCTATGATTGTCAGTGGGTAGGGGATAAGCCAAAATTCAACCTGATGTAATCTACCCTTCTATAGTCTGAAGTGGCAGCCATATGTTACACGTCTTTGGGTAGGGAGATATACGGACTATTCAAATGCGGATTCCATGTTCCGCTTCCATTCCTCCACTCTACTAACCAGCAAGTAACACCCCAGGCTAAGAATTGGAAGCTTCCCTAAACAGGGGGGAACCCACTCTAGAGAAACCAAAATACTATAGCCCTCATTAAAAGGATCACCAAAAAGGTACCCCTAATTGTTGGAAACCCCCAATGGGAGGATGTTGGGGTTTGCCAGGCCCAAACCCAAACCCCAGACCCCTAAACCCTAAACCCAAACCTCAGACCCCTAAACCCTAAACCCTGAACCCTAAACCCTATAAACCCTAAACCCTGAACCCTCAAGCCTAAACCCTAAGCCCTAAAATTTTACTGGCCTAAGACGCAGCTCAACAGCCGGCTCAGGAGCTTGGTGATACTATCCTCAGAGAAGGTAGGAACAAGGAAGTACACTGCCCCCAACTAGCATGGAAAGCCTTATAGCCCGGTAGCTTCTAGAGTCTGAGGCTTTGGAAGTTTCGGATATTTTGCAGGAACTCTGTGGGAAGTAAGTCTGGGCACCGTTGGTTTTTACATGAGGAACTGCTTCAGGTCGAACATATGAAATAGGGGTGGCTCGTCAAGAAAAGGGCATCTGGGTTGATCTGGGCCTATAACCCTCATGTTACCTTAATATTATCCTAATATAACCCCAATATAACCCCCATGTTACCCTATAGTCTCCCAAATTGCGCGGGCATCGCCTGAAGCCCTGCCATCCTCACAGCTTTACTGTACGGCGCTTGGCCGCCTGGTACCGGTAGAGAATCCCTCAATCGCCTTGGCATCCCTGCCTCTTCACGCTCCCGAATACCGTGAACAAAAAGCTGTACATTATGAATCCGTCTCTTCCTGCCACTCCGGTTCTGGTCTATTCCTACTCCTCCTCCCTCCTCTTCCTACTGCTGCTCCTACATCCTCCAAAACCGAGAACCTCATCGCCATCACTCCCACAGCTGCTATTGCCACCACTCCCCGAGCCCAGCGTCCATCTGCGCTGCACCATCGCTGGACTTCGCCCGGAGGGCGGAGACGGCGCCGTGCAGAAGAACCATCAAGTCCTTGGCTCAGCTCGTTCACACTTGGAATGTGGGAGCTGCATATGCTGGGATTATTGTAAGGCCTGATGGCAGCTGAGAAGGAATCCTACAGACCCGCAAAAAACTTCTAGGTTGCATGAAGACACACCGCGCTTCACCTTCTGGAGTTTTGGAATAGGAACCACCCGTCCCAAAACAATAACCCCATTGTCCCACACATCAACATCCCCCACTAGACCTATTCACGGGACGAATGGCCCCCAAAAGCAGTAATTTTGGTGTTATAAATGACATAGGAATTCCCAAATATTTGGGCCTTTGTCAGATACATACCCCCTAGATACCACAACCCTTCAAGTAAGAATCCTCAAATGCTAAGAATCCTCAAAACAACCTCCACGTTTTTTTGCATGTTCGTGCTTGAGAAAAGCTGAATCCGATCCCCAGAAATTTGCTCACCGGGGCGCTGCGAGTGGCACCTGAAGTGAGCGTGAGCCATGACTGGGTTGCTGCTTAGGAATCTAATTTAAGTTACCATAATGGGTGTATACATATATATATATGTATATATATATACATAGAAAATAATAGGGCTTCCCCAATATGCTAACTTAACTTAAATTCCTTGGCAGCAACCCAGATGATCTACCCAGACTCCCCAGAAAAAATCAAGAACCAACATCTCCTACAGAAACCCACAGGAAGTAACCCTGAAATAATCCAAATATAATCCGAATATGTTCTTAGGAAATCTTTTTGGGGATCCCTTTGAGGGCCTGGGTGTGGAGGCGTGGGAATGATGTGTTCCGGGCTACAGCAGCTGGGGATCTTTCGGATTCTTTAGACATATAGTCCCCCTTGAGTAGATAGAATATGGGGTATATGGGGATCTTATTATGATATATACCCAACCCCATATTCTATCTACTTAAGGGGGGCTATACCTGAGTTTGGGATTCAGGGTTGGGCTATCATGCCTTTCTTGTGCAGGTAGTTCTTCCGGATGGTGGGGCGGAGGAGATGAAAAAGTGGGTGCCCCTTAAAAGGAAGGTACGAGAGCAGGCGCTTTGTTGAAGCAGCAAGGGAACCCTAAAGTAGAAAGACGAGCCGTAGACTTGCTAAGTTACCTATGAAGGGAAAGCTTTGCCTGTAGCAGTCCTAAGTGTTAACTAAGGAAGCCCACGCTACATATAGTCCCATTTTAAGTAGATAGAATATGGCTCTGGGTATGTTGTAATGAGATCCCCATATACTCCATACTCTATCTACTTAAGGGGGACTATATTCCGAAGAGGAAAGATCTGAGCAGCAGTTGGACCCAAAGGAAAGTTCACACGCCTAAGCCTACAGCACAGCTTTGCAAACATCCGGGATTGAATCAAGGGTTAACAGCTGAGCCCAGAAAATGCCGCAAACGCCTTAACCAAAAGGGTATAATTACCCCATAACCCTGTATAATATAGTAGTTTCCATGTTCCTTTCATTATCTGAACAGGGTCTATATTAGGGTCCCCTTGTTTTGGGGAACCAAAACTACATAGGCTGTAGTCTAAGGTGCCGCAGTCGTGGAGCCGCTGGCGCCATCCACCTTCAGGCTACCTTGCAGCTGAGCAATTGGGAGCATCTATGGGGGTTCTGGGTTTAGGCCCCAAACTTTAGGGCTTAAGGTTCAGGGCAGATGTGCGTTAGAGGCATCTATGGGGGTTTAGGGTTGTTTAGGGTTTAGGGCAACTGAGCATTAGGGGCGTCTATGGGGGTTTAGGGTTTAGGGCTGCTGAGCATGAGGAGCGTTTATGGGGATTTAGGGCCTAGGGGTTACGGCAGTTGACCAATGAGGGGCGTCTACCCTACTATTCCTATTACGATCACCTTTACTTACTGGGGGGTTGGTAGGGGATAAGGAAAAAGCATCCCTATATATTCCTTACGTAACATATTCCTTACTAACCCCGAATAGGTTTACCAGGCGATCGAATTACTGCTATTCCTTGAGGGGATGCCGCATTCTACAGGATTCGCGGAGTGTTCCTTATGGGCTGTGCCGGGAGTGAGGTCTACATAAGGGTTGAACAGGGTTATCTAAATTATACGGGATAATATAAGACTATGTAGAGGTTATATAGGTTCATGCGGGAATCAGATAGAAAACTACATTGAAAAGAGAATGGACGATGAAGTGTGAACCGCGGTTATATAGAGGATGATATAGAATGCAAGGCCTCGCCAACGGATGTGTATGAGGAGGAAAAGATTCCGAACCAAATGATCGGGCGTCTAAATTCAAAGGCTCCAAAGCGGAAATAAGACAAGGGGAATCGCTTTTGGGATTAGGTATCGCTTCTT